TGTTCTTTGTTAAAGAGCACGGAGCGTGTCAACCTCCGATGCCTTAAGTAGCTAGTACAATATCAGTGTGATGGTACTCCAAAAAGGAGAAGCTTATAAGACACATGTGGTGTCAGATGAATGCAAATCTTTAAGCATTGCTTTATTTTGACGTAAGGCTCACAGTGAAGAAAGCTGAGAAATTGGTACGTGCTGAACATTGTCGTGGGTTTGTACGGCAGGGTGTTGAATACGCCGGTCAAAAAACGCGAAATTCGAGACTTATGAAGAGGGAAGGTCGAGCGCAATGAGCGTTTTTCAATTAGAAACGGATAAGAAGTGTATTGATATTGGTCGAAAATCATAGAGTCACCGATACCGTTTTCACAGAAAACACCTCGGCAGCTACGCTAAGAGCTGCTTTCAGTGCATACCGCGCTTTCTGAAATCGTTAAAGTATTTAATTTGATACACGGGAGCGGACTCCTGGTGCAGGTGCGCCGCAAAAATTAGGCACGGTAAAGTGAAGAGAGTGGAGATGTAGTGGTTGTTCGTGGCGCAGTCACTTTTGTGTAGTGTCTTATACAGAATAGGTGTGGCCTCAGTGTGGTCCATATCGTAGTGAGGCGGGGTAACGGGGCAAGTAAATTGATCTGTGGACTTCCACATTTCGTACAAATGAATTGTAATTGGGTAAATTTGTGCGAAAATCATATACACTTAGTGTAATTTTGATCATTTAATTGTATCGGGATATCGGTGTTTATGAAGATCATGGAAGTCCAAATGGAAATCTCCCAGATGCACGTAGGCTGCTAGCAGTGATGAGGATCAAGAATGCAGACAGAGAGCGCTCGTTTACAATCAATGGTGCGCACCGACGTATTTTAATGCTGGGTTCAAATCAATATCGACCATTTTAATGACTACGTGAGCTCTACCGGGTTAGCCAGAAGAGCGAGAAATGTTATCGCTAATTATAAAAAGTATATATTTAGTATTAGTCGAAGTATAATTAAGTCAAATACAGATCCTCCTGAGACAGCAGAGCAAACGAAAATCTTTGCCACCGCAAAAGCTTCTGGTAGAAGCGCACATTCCCACCCTCTGTGCATTTGTTAACGGCGATTCTGAGAGTCAAAGATTCCTCTGTGCAATATGCTTGGCAGCCCCGTTGGATTTCTTTCATTTATCGTTCTTTTGACTTTATAATCTAGCTGTATGAGATACCACATATCGAATGACAAATTAACGGGAGGCCAGAACCTCACGTGTCCTCAACATCCTCCTTCCGGAGTACCATCACTCTCATCCACACCAGTACTAATCTTGAGACTTCACCTTGGAAACGTTTTAGTACTTCTGAACCTGAGAGACAGTAGTTTAATAGTGTTATGTGGACGAGTATGGTGCATGCCCGTAACAACTTCGAAGATAACCAACGAATATAATTTCATACTTCAAACAATACAAACCAGCGTAAAGTGTGACTTGTAGAACTTGCACATATAAAATGGATTCTGTATCCGTGTTTTGTTTGTAAAGCTCAGTAATCACACTATAAAGCACACAGAGTTCTTGCCCCTGACACAATAAGCGGATGAGGGTGAATTTATCATGTCCTTTTGTACATGATATCGTAATCGATCGGAGGGTAATTCAAGTGGCAGTCTGTACTGATGCAAGAGGACGAGGTTCGGTCGCAGCTCTAAGACAAAGCTCATGATGAAACAGAACCACCAGCTTTGCCTTTTAAAGACCACTCAACGGGGAGTGAAGGCTAGGTGAGAAGATTGCATGTTCGAATATTGAGATCTATGGTAGATTTTTTCCTATTTATTTGACACGGGCATTGTATAATCAATAACGTAATTTGTTAAGTACGATAGTGCCAACGCATAAAATCTCAGGGGGAAATCTCTTATTGTAACAATCGTACTTATCCGCGAGGAGCTCAATCGTTAGTGGCTCCAGGCATCCGAAGGACAAGATGGAGAACGTGACGGTCAAGATGGACGACGTCAAGCTAGATGAATGCGCTGTACCCGTTAAAAAGATGGCGCGTCGTGATCATTTGATCGAAATTGAGCATGAAATTATCAACAAATGGGACGCTGAAAAGCTTTTCGAATCGGACCCCGATCCCAGCAAGCCAAAGTACATGGTCTCGTTTCCCTACCCGTACATGAATGGCTATCTGCACGTGGGCCACCTGTTTACGCTATTGAAAGTCGAGTTTGCAGCGCGCTACCATCGTCTCAAAGGTGAGAACGTCATATTCCCGTTTTCTTTCCATTGCACTGGGATGCCCATTCAGGCTGCCGCCAACAAGCTTAAGCGTGAGCTCGAACAGTACGGAAATCCACCAGATTTCTCGCGCGATCATCGTGAAGAAGTCAAACCTAAGGAAAATAACGAGAATCTGTTAAATAAGGCTCATGGAAAGAAGTCCAAAGCTGCAGCCAAGACGGGTGGTGTTGTGCACCAGTACGACATTCTAAAGATGTCGCACATTCCCGAGGATGAAATCCCCAAATTTCAAGATCCGTTGTACTGGCTTCAGTATTTTCCACCGCATGCCGTGGCAGATCTCAAGCGCTTTGGTATGAATATTGACTGGCGTCGCTCTTTCATCACTACGGATGTAAATCCTTTTTACGATGCCTTTGTCACCTGGCAGCTCAACAAACTCAATGAACACAAGCGTATTGTTCGTGGCAAACGTCCCAACGTCTTTTCGATTATTGATGGACAGAGTTGTGCAGATCACGACCGTGCGTCTGGAGAAGGAGTAGGCCCCCAGGAATACACGCTCGCCAAGCTTTGCGTGCAAGAACCATTGCCCGAAAAACTGTCAGCTCTATCTGGCAAGAAGGTCTACTTGGCCGCAGCCACACTTCGTCCTGAAACGCTGTATGGCCAAACCAACTGTTTTGTGCTTCCCGAAGGCGACTACGGTGCCTTCCTGATTAATGACAATGACGTATTCATCATGAGCCACCGTGCGGCACGAAACTTGGCACACCAAGAGTTTTCACGTGTTTGGGGAAAGGAAGAGTGTTTAATCGAGTTGAAAGGCTGGGATCTGCTTGGTCTGCCGCTTACCGCACCTAACGCACCATACGACACAATCTACACTCTGCCGCTGCTCACGATCTCGATGGGTAAAGGTACAGGTGTGGTGATGAGTGTTCCGTCCGACTCACCCGATGACTTTGCAGCATTTCGGGACTTAAAGCAAAAACCAGCGCTACGTGAAAAGTTTGGCATTGAGGATCACATGGTGTTACCGTACGAACCTGTTCCTATTATTGAGATTCCCGGCTTTGGAGAAATGGCGGCTGAAAAGGTCTGCAATGACCTCAAGATCGTCTCGCAGAATGACAAGGATAAATTGGCGAAGGCTAAAGAACTTGTTTACCTTAAAGGTTTCTATGAAGGTGTGCTTCTTGTAGGTTCGCAAAAGGGCCAGAAAGTGTGCGATGCCAAGGCTGTGATGCGCCAGGAGTTGTTAGATGGAGGACACGCCATTTCATACTGGGAAACTGAATCGCTGGTCATGTCACGCAGTGGAGACGAGTGCGTCGTTGCGCATCTGGACCAATGGTACTTAACATACGGTGCAGAAGACTGGAAGAATCGAGTGTTGGACCATATTAGTGATCCTGAGAAATTTAACGCCTATAATCCGGTAGCATTAGGCGAATACAAGTCGACCCTTGGATGGCTGAAGGAGTGGGCCCCTTGCCGTCAGTCTGGTCTTGGCACGCGTTTGCCGTGGGACCCTGACTTTGTTGTCGAGTCACTGACTGACTCGACAATATACCCGGCTTACTACACTATTGCGCACCATTTGCAAGCTAATTTAGACGGCTCCAAGTTGGGACCACATGGCATTAAGCCTGAGCAGATGACGAAAGAGGTTCTTGATTACATTTTCTTGAAGGGTTCCCCGCCGAGCAGCTCTACGATTCCGCTTACTGTGCTTAAGCAGATTCGCGACGAGTTTGAGTACTGGTATCCCATTGATGTCCGCGCTTCTGGGAAGGATTTGATTCGCAATCACCTGACAATGTGTTTGTACAATCACGTGGAGATTTGGCGGGATGATCCATCTAAGTGGCCGCGTGGCTTCTTTACGAACGGTCATGTTCAAGTGGACGGCAAGAAAATGTCGAAATCAATGGGCAATTTCCTCACGCTTAAGGATTGCGCTGTCGAGTTTGGTGCTGACGCTACCCGTTTCGCTTGCGCTGACGCCGGTGATGGAATGGATGATGCCAATTATGCACTTGACACGTGCCGCATGGCTATCTTGCGTCTAACTACTGAAGAAGAATGGATCAAACGTATCTTGGTGGAAAAGGATTTATTACGCAAAGGTGAGCTTAACTTTAATGATAAGGTCTTTTTGAACCAGATGAACAACCTGATCAGAACGACGGCTTCATTCTACGAGCGCCTCCAGTGGCGTGAAGGTCTCCACTCGGGATTTTTTGAATACCAAATTGCCCGTGACTCGTACCGCGACATTTGTGCTCGTAGCGAGGTGCCAATGCACCATGATGTTATCATGCGATTTATTGAGTCACAGCTTGTTATTTTATCTCCAATCTGTCCTCACTTTTGCGAGTACATGTGGACAGCTATTGGCAAACAAGGGTTTGTGTCGGTGGCTCCTTGGCCGAAGACTGAGGAAGTTGATCATGGGCTTTTGCGTGCTGGCGACTTTTTGAACAAGGTAACTCGAAGCTTTCGTGAGACTCTCACGAAGACTAGCAGCAAAAAGGGGAAGAAAAGTGCTGCACCGCTTGAGCCGGTCAAGAAGCCGACTCACGCCCACGTGTATTTGACATTGGAATTTCCTGAATGGCAGCAGAAAGTTCTTGTTTTTATGGACGGTCTATTTGATGACTCTACGAAGCAGTTTTCTGCTGACTTTATGAAGCAGCTTAAGAGTGAATTGGCCAAGGACGAGTCGTTGAAAAAGTTAACGAAGAACGTGATGCAGTTTGCTGCTTTTGTCAAGGCAGAGGCTGAATTGCGTGGCCGTGAGGCTTTAGAATTAAGGTACTGTGCCTATATACCGAAGCAACTGCTAGAGCTCAGAAGTGATGACGCTAATTTTGTGATATTGCAGGATGCCATACGATCAACAGAGTGTACTCGCCTCCAACAAGTTATACCTCTGCCGATCGCTAGACCTACAGGACATTGAGGTACGCGTATTGCAACAATATAGCTGTGGTACACCAGTGAGGATGTCTGATTCATGTATTTGCCGTAGTTCTTCTACGTTGGTGAAAAGGTTGCAAATGCGAACGAGAAGAGGATGGAAACGGCGTCTCCAGGCAAGCCAGCCATCTTCGTCTACGCCAAATAAAAGTATTGAGGCTTAAAACCCGCATGTTTCTATGGAATCATTGCATTATGACCTGAATAAGAAGAAGACAACAAACGGATAACTGAGAGAAATATCCTCATGACACGAATTGCAGACCTCGCTTATTCATCCTCCTCGAAAAGTTATGATCACCTAGTTGCATTCCATCATACAAGACTTCTTTGAGTAAATTTGAATATCTATTCAGCGTCGGCAATTTCAATCCTGCTGCCACGTCGGATTTGGCCCCACCCAATGAGACGCCAATGCTTGTCAATTCGGCGACTAATAGCAATCTTTTCACCTTCTTGCGTACACACCGGAACCGTAAGCACAATCTTGGCCAGATCCTGCTTCACCGCCAGCACTTTGCCTCCAGTAGCCGTAGATCCAATGTTGACCATAAGCACTTCCGCTTTTGAAAGCTTCTGCACTTTGGACGCCTTGCTACCCTCTTGGGTCTTGACGCCCAGTAGTCGCTTAAGTAGGTAAAAGTTAATTTCCAGCTCAGTAAATACGTGCGGAAGACTGCCTTTAAGTCCTAGTACTTGACCTACTAGCCGATCTGAACGCGTAAGTGTAGGGTCAATTTGCGTACCGACACCAATTAATCCACCTGGAACAGCAAATTGCAGGTCGTTCTTCTCCGCATATAGCGACACGATACGCGAGAAAATGGGCACGCATGTCATCTTGCCTTCCTCATCTTTGCTAACAATACCTGGGCGCACCTCAATTTCATCTCCAACACGTAACACACCCTCAAGAATCGAGCCACCCGCAACACCACCCTTCAAGTTCTCAACATCCTCACCGGGTTTGTTGACATCAAACGAACGAATGACGATAAGCTTAGGCTTGGACGTAAAGTCGCGCTTGGGAATGGGAATGTTGCGGCAAATGTATTCGCAGACTACGTCCACATTATATTTAAGCACAGCTGATATTGGAATGATGGGGGCGTCATGGGCCACGGTACCGGCAACAAATTTTTTTATCTGTTCGTGCTGGGCCACTGCAACGTCCTCTTTGATCAAATCCACTTTGTTCTGCAAAATTATAATATTTTGAAGTCGCATAATCTCGATAGCTGCTAAGTGCTCGGAAGTTTGCGGCTGTGGACATACTTCATTGCCAGCCACTAGCAGTAACGCAGCGTCCATTACGGCAGCTCCATTCAGCATCGTTGCCATAAGAATGTCGTGCCCAGGACAGTCTACGAACGACACATGACGCTGCAACACCCACGTCAACTTGTCATCGTTTTCGTCGACGAATCGGTCGGGCTTGGAGCTACCAAATGCGCGATAACATCCAATGCCGACACCATTCTCTGCGCGGTAGATCTTGGCGTTGGCATAACCAAGTTTAATTGTAATATTACGCTCAAGCTCGTTCTTAAATCGCACTGTTTGTACGCCTGAAATAGCCTTCACCACTGTTGATTTGCCATGAGCGACATGGCCAATGGTACCAATATTGATGGTGGCCTGGTAATAAGCTTTCAAAAGTGAGAAAATTTTGAAGCAATACATGCCTTTCTTCGCTTACCTGACGACTGATAACCTCTGGAGTAAGTGGTGTGAGTTCCTCAATCTTAAGCTTCGACAAATCCTGTACTGCTAGATGCTTCTGTACAAGTTCCTGCATAGTCGGTAAGAGGGGATTGAAAGAGTCGAAGCGCTTAACGAGAAGCAGGAGGGTAAAATTTGCTGGCGGCTACGACAACAACAATCATTTCACTACATTCAATGTAGCACACACAATCAAGAAATCTTTGAAGAGTCACTTCAACCATTTTGTCATGATGACGAGTAGCGGAAACAATTTTAACAATGCACCAGGACTCATCCATCGGTAAGAAAAGATCAGTATGATCATATATTACGGAAGGTATGCTCATGACTATTTAATTCTAGTCACATCTTCGGACTCAAGGGAACTGTGCACAACAATGTTGCATTCGCTGAGGAAAGCGTACTCGTCTATCCGTGCGGTCATAATGTCATCATTCACAACGTTGAATCTAAGGAGCAACAATTCATACATGGTGTTGAGACAACAGGACGAGGCATCACGGCACTTGCTATAACACCTAATAAACGTTACGTGGCCGTTGCGGAGCAAGCAGAGTGCGCTGTTGTGTACATACATGATCTAACTACGTTACGGCGTCGTAGGACGTTGACGCTTAATGATGGACTTGCTGACACTTGCGTGTGGGTGGCTTTTTCAGGAGATAGTAAGTACTGCATGACGCTGGGAGGTGCACCGGATTGGGTACTTTCGGTTTGGCTTTGGGAAAAGACCAAGCTGATTGCAAGCACGAAAGCCTCGACTCCACAAGGAAATGCCGTACACCAAGCAGACTATTGTCCAAATGATCCTTTAACGATTTGTGTTAGTGGAGCCGGAATACTTAAGTTTCTTCGCCTATCAGAGGGTCAGCTTAAGCTGCAGGCGACACCATTGAAGCGGGAACCTGCACACTTTTTGCGCCATGCGTGGGTTTCCGATGACCGTGTCGTCGCTGCCGCAGATACAGGCGATTTGTGGCTATTCGAACAGTTTGAGTTTCGACAAATCTTACCACAAACCGCCAATGTGACTAGCGATGGCAGCTTTGTGAACTCGCTGTTAGGTTACGCGAAAGGCTTTGTATGTGGCGGATCAGGAGGCTGTGTTCGTATTTACGACAGAAATGATGACGGAGGACCAAAAGAATACTATAAAAAGGCAAAAACCTTTCGTATCGAAGGCGAAACTAGCACTATTCAGAATTTAGCGATAAGTCCAAGTGAAGATGTGCTTGTGTGCTCGCTCGAGAACAATCAGCTATACACGCTTACACTCTCTAGTACCGATATTCTTAAAGAAGATGCTATGAATTTTGAGCATGTTTCAACAGCTTTTCATGCTCCAAGCAGTAATGGACGCTGTCAAATCACCGGACTTGATACTTGCATTCGGAAGCCATTGATTGTCACATGTGCACTTGATCGATCAGTGCGAGTGTGGAATTATCTTGATAAGTCCACTGATATCTCGAAGGTTTTCCGAGAAGATCCACTGAGTGTGGCCTTTCATCCATCTGGCTTGTTTGTTGTTGTGGGGTTCACTGATAGACTTCGAATGTTGAATGTTCTCATGGATGATATTCGCTCTTGTCGCGAGTTTCCAATAAAAGGCTGTTGTGAGCTGCGCTTCTCGAATGGGGGGCAATTTTTCGCTGCTGCGAACCATAACATCGTCCACGTGTATGTTACGTATACTGGCGAGCTAATCGCCGTGTTACGTGGGCATTCGAATCGCGTCACAGCCGTTTCATGGAAATTAGACGATCGACAGCTGCTGACATGTGGTGCCGATGGTACAGTGTTTCTCTGGAGCCTTCGTACAGCATCAAAAGTACATGAGGGTCACTCGCAAGCACGTTGCGCGTACATTGATGCCGCGTTATCCCCTGATGGAGCTGTGGCATATGTTACAGGCTCGGACAATATGTTGAAGGAACTTGATATGGCAATGGGTACAACACGAAATGAGCTCTGGGTTGGCAGCGGTGGAATAACTTTAGGCCCATTAGCCCTTGCAACCTCTCAGCAAGTTCTATTTGTTGGTTCTGCTGTACCTGGTAGCCCTGGTATGGTGAGGCTATATCGTTTGCCTCTTGAAAAAGATCGTTTGCTACAAAACGCAACATCCGTAGGCGGTGCCAGACCAGCACCGACGTCCTCAAAGTCGATTGGGTCTTCAGGTCAAAACGGATCGATGGTACCGTCTGCGCCTTCAGGCGCTGGCACTGCAATTTGGCCATATAGTGAGTACCATTGCCATGACCTCCCTGTATCACGACTTCGACTGTCATACGACAATCAGTTCCTCTTCTCAGCTGGTGAGGATGGATCTTTATGCATCTTCGAAACTCAAAATGTCATTGGAAAAGCAAGTAGCACTGGAAATAGCAGTAATGCAGGAGGTTCTGGACCGATCGGCTTAAGAGATGGTCGAAGTGATAGTATGATGCTGGGTGGGAGCATCAACAGTGCGAGTGGCTCGGGTTTGCCATTTGCAGAGGAAATTTTGGTCACAAAATCAGATCTTGAGGATAAGAATCGTCTCATGAATGAACTTAAAGCTAAAGTAGATGAGTTAACTCTGCATAATGAGTATCAACTTCGATTGAAGGACCTTAACTATAAGGAAAAGATCAAGGAAGTATCCGACAAATTTACAGCTGAGCTCACGCAAGATCGTCAACGCTGCACCGACATGGAAATCGAAAAGACTGAGATGGAAAACGAGTACGAGAAGAAGATGCGTGAAATGGTTGTAAGCTACCGAGATGAGATGCAAGAGATGAAAACCACGTATGATAATAAAGTGGAGGCTGAGAAAACACGTTACATAGCACTGGAGCAGGCACGTAACGAGCAGAATACACGATTTGAAGAAGAAAATCACTTACTCGTGGAGAGTCATACGCATTTTCTTGCAGAAATGACAACCGAATACGATCGAAAAGTAGCTCATGAGCAGGAACTGCAGGCGGCATGTGAGAAGATAAAAGAAGAACTAATTGCAACAAACGAAGCGCTTAAGCACTCTATCGAAGAGGATGCTGACCTCGAAATAGAAGAGCTGAAATCCAAGTACGAGCTCAAGCTTTCTGACGAGCGCGAGGCAACATTGCTTCTCAAGGGTGAAAACGGGATCATGAAGAAAAAATTCTCAGCGTTGCAAAAAGACATTGAAGATCAGCGCGAGGAGATCCGTTCCTTGGAAGAAAAGGGAAAGGAGTTGAGAGAGAATATACGTGGCCTTGAAAAGGATATACAAGGCCATAAAAAGGAGATTCGCGAGCGTGAGGAAACTATACAAGACAAAGAAAAACGAATTTACGACCTCAAAAAGAAAAACCAGGAACTGGAAAAATTTAAATTTGTACTAGACTACAAGATTAAGGAGCTAAAGCGCCAGATTGAGCCGCGCGAACAAGAAATTGCCAATTTGAAAACACAAATTGAAGAGATGGACGCCGAGCTGGAGCAGTACCACAGGAGCAATGCTGCCCTTGATCTAATGATTGGCGAGCTCCGTCTTAAAATTGACGGTATGCAGAAAGAAGTTGACATGCAAGCGGCACAGGTGGCTGTCGGAAAGTCATTAATCCAACAGGTGCAGACAGATTTGCTAGGTTGTGCACAACTTCTTGATAACAAGAAAGAGCTGAAGATTGCCGTCATGGCACTTAACAAAAAATATGAAGATGGTGTCACACCTGATGCTAAGGTTCCTAATTCACAGGCCGAGTACAATCGTCAGCGTGATTATCTTGAAAGGGAGGTCGAGTCGCTAAAACGAAGAATAATAAAAGGCATGACTCTCAGCGAAAGCGAGCTGCATCGATTACAGCGAGAAAATGCCAAACTTACAATACAGGTAAATGAATTGCGGCGCGAGTTTCACAATGTGCGTATGCATACTCAGGAAATAGGCGGTTCTAAGCTCAAGTCCTCGGTCTCAATCTCCACTAACCCATTGAGCAAAACAGTGTCCGTGAGCAGCGAGGCATCACGTGACCGCAAAGATAAAATGCACGAGGCAAAGATCCAAAGAAAACGCATAAAGCAACTCAAGATTCGTCTCGGTGAGTTGCAAAAGTCTTTAGGCGGTGCTGTCAATTTTGGACTGTCCGGATCCAACAACTACAAGCAACAGCAGCAACAGTACACGAAAAGCACTTCTACTCGAGAAGCACTTCACCTTCCGCCTGTGTAGTAATTTAGAGTCTTTCCTTTGCTTTAAGATATAGATCCACTGGTCACATTGAGCTAGTCGAGCGCTTTGCCCGAGTATACATCATAGCACTCTGGCGAACCATACGCGTCTGGATGGTATACGAGAAATATGCACATTCAAAAGATGAAGATTGATAATGTGCTTGCAATTGACAAGATTCAATACTAGACGCACATATTGCTGAAGGTGCTGCGAGATGTTAATCCGGTCTGGGATGTGCACGTACAGCACTGTCTTACCCATCACGAACACCTCATCAAGATTTATACAAGTTCCCTGTAAGAAGAAAGATAGAAGTGTAATAAATGTACTCGCTTATTCAAGAGTGAATACGGACTTACGTTGGGCTTAGTCTCACAGGCGTCCAGCAGAGTAAAGTCCATATCCTGCACAACCTCTTCTACCACACCTTCCAAAACCGAGTCATTCTTCAAGTCAATGCGTACACGTAGACCTACAAAGCTTTTCAAAAGCAATAACAGCGAGCGCGGCTTGCGCTGCTTCCTCTTTGACTTGATGAGATCTTGCGATCGAACAGTGGCTTTCATCAAATGCTGATTGAACATTTAGTGGTGTAGACATTATGTGCACACGGCTAGCCATTGATGTCGTACTTAAGAAGAACACATACCAAGGACAGAAAAGAATTCACAGTTAGACCAAATTGACCGAGCAGCGATGGGACCTCGTGGCGCCGGACGACGCCTGAATGACCAGGAGCGGATGGAGATTCTAGAAATAATTCAACGGGAGGCTAAAGTTAAAAATGTGGATTTGGCTAAGCGCTATGGTGTGTCAGAAGGCGCTATACGTAAGCTCAAACAGATGAAAGACACTATTCGCAGTCGCTATTTTATGGGTAACGAGCATAATCGAGACAAACGCAAGCGTGGTGGTTTTAAGCGCAATGCGCCGTTTGAAGACGAACTTTATCAGTGGATTGTGCGTATGCGTGAATCGCAGCCTTACCAACTCATGCCGCTCACACAGACTGCAGTTCGTCAGCAAGCTATAATTCTCTCTAAAAACTACGAAAAGATGGCCAACTTTAAGGCTTCACCTGGCTGGTTTACACGATTTTGCTCTCGACACCGACTGGATTCAATTGTTGCCGGTGGAGCAGGAATCACAGATGACTCCAGCTTGGCTGTAACATCAACTCCAGTCGATGTCTCGCTCTCTTCAGCAGGAGTGCCGCAATCGGTAACTGCGCCACCTGCCGTTTCTATGCCCATGGCTACAAACTCGACTGATGAGACAACTTTTTTAATGGATACACTCACGGCTACGCCCGTGACATCGTCGCAGGCGCTGGAAGTCATCAACTCTACTCCAGTTATAGCTTCTGATGCAGACGAATGCAAGACGGACGCACCGTCAATCAATGAGCAAGTACAACAGGCTGCTCGCCAGCACAATGAAGCCGCATTGCGAGCTGCTGCAGTCAAAATTGGCGAGGTACAGCTCTCGGCAGAAGATCAAACATCAAAGTCTCACTCAGAAACTTCGGAAGAGGGGAAGGTAAAGGTCGAAGATGTCGATACTGATGAGGAAAACGAGGAGAAGTTAGAAAATACTACTGCTCACTCCAACGTGGGCGACGAGATCTTTAGCCTTGGACTATAGTGTATACATTCTGTCAGTCAAGAAAAGAGCTTTTCTTTGCTGATTTATTTTATCCTTTGTATGTTCTTTAGAATCGACCGTACTCGTGATATCCTAAAGCTACGAGTCGCAAACTTATTTTCAGTGATGAAAAGTAAGTTTTGCTAGCTACCGTGGAAACGTATATATGATTTTCTCAAGGTGACAGACAACCTCGAAGTGTTGTCAATCATTAGAATACATAGTTGACGTAGGCATTGATAAAAAAACGTTTTTTTCTGTCATGGAATACTTTCTATACGTATACTTTTGATTCTGGTTGCTGTAGTAATAGAATTAACCAGACAAAGTTTTAGTTTGATATTTTCTAAAAATAGAAATGCAGCGTTAATCAGAGGCTCCTTTTTTCTTACAGTACAGTTGTTCGTACACGTTACCCTACTGAAGAAATTACCAACGCGTATGAAGTAATCGTGTGCACTTGACCCTTGCATAATTTGATACAATCGTTGTTTATACAGTACGGTTCAATTGTATTTTATAGTGACTGTGAATATTAATTAAAAGTGAATATGAGGAGAACTTCGAGTATAGCTTTTCAAGGCATGTCCGATTCCGCAATTGAAAATGTTAAATATTGAAGGAGCATATACACTATTTGAACTAGGCTCAAAGTTTGGATGTAATCAATCTGACTACAATACACTGTTTCCGTGTGATTCTCGAGTAAAAGAGGCTCAGATGTATAAAGTTGCTGACTAACAAGACTATTTTATACTATCCCTATTCAAAAGATCGCTCTCTAAAAAGATAACATAGCGTGATTTGCAACGATCGAAAAAGATACAAAATGTACACAAAACTAAAACTGTGGTTGACTATATGGTCTTGTAAACTTGTTTAAGGACATTTTTCAGATTTAGTACAATTGCTGCACTTTTGTGTGATAGTGACCAAAGTATCGGTATTTGTAACGATTTTGAGACTTTTTAAGGTTTTTGGTAAAAGCAGTCTTTTCTCAAGAGATAGTAGAAAGTATAAATCAAGGGACAAAGTAGATCATGCAATCGACGTCTTACGTACTCTTGAAATAAACGAGCAAATTGGATAAGTAGTCATGCTGAAGGCTTTCAGTTCTGCTTCTTGTGAGAGCGTATGGACCCACCTTCTGTGTGTTTCTTAGCACAAATACACTGAGTTGACAGTTGAATCGCATTAATACGAAGAACTACTTCTGTGCCGCGTAGGCCGGATGGATTCGTGGGGGTAAGTACTCTATCAGCTCGCCGAAAGTGATGGGTCTCAGCGATGCTGAGGAGAATAGGGAGGTTTCTTAGCATCTAAGCTGCTCCACGGTACTCGTAAGTGGAAGTGCTAAACATCTGTGCTCTGCGTAGCCACTTCGTTCTCGGCTGAGAGGTACGAAGTTTTTAAGCTCCACGCAAGTGCATCCGTCGGACCCCTCGCAAGGAAATGCCAGTCCCAGTAGGCGCACGGCAGCCTACTGGATTATAAGTGAGCTTCATTGTATCTCGTGAGGGCAATAGTCGATGATACATGCAGGAGCTTGTACACTTACTTAAGAAGTGAAAGCAGTAGACAGTACACAGAGGCATTGAAGATACCAGATACGGATATAATATGTGTGCACCGCGCGACGAATTCATTAGTGAAAGTTCCGACGAATCTGCTGAAGCTTTGAGTATAGTTTATTGATATGGGCTTGATAACATTATAAGATATCATTCAGGGTCTGTCGTGGCTGGAAAGGATATGTAAACCCCTAATGATGCCACCACAAAGCGCCTGCCTTGTACCGACGGTTATATAAGCAGAATAGCGCATTCTAACATGAGCGCGGGCCATAATCGGCAAATGCTTTGCGTATTCGTGATCACGTAAGAGCAGCATGGCGGAAACACACTTACGCTGCGATAGAAATCATATTATTCACAATGTGAAATAGTCAAGAATTTGAGTATGAGCATCACGGACATAATATAACGACTTTCTTTCTTGTGATGCAGAAACCCCGAAAGAGTTTTTCACATTCTTAATGAATTAGACGCAACGGTTACAATACTGATAATGGATGCCATGACATCTGCAACAATGTTTTAGCGGCCATCGTTGCTTTTCTTTATGAATTAGCGAGTATCGTCACAAGATATCCAAAATCGTGATGCTTATCGATATTAGTACTTTTTGCGGGATTTAATAATCGTGAAGTTAGGATAATTGCTTGGCGATAAATACTCTCGATCCGGTGTGTCTGAATTTGCAGGGCCGCTTAATTGTGCGACTTTTTATTTCATGACATTGACGACTACTGCTTTTTATCTCTGATAATGAAAGCGAACTGCACGTCACATTCTGACAGGTACCTCATCGATATCAGTCTGCAGCGTCACACTAGAAAGAAATTGCCGAGGTCCACATTGGAAGCGCAGCTCAGTTTCTTTTCAGTCGAGACTTAAATATAACATAGGTTTCGACATTACGAAATTGTATCGATGTTCGAATAAACAGTGAAAATAGTGGCAGAAGAAGCGATCACTTGTCTTGAGCATCAAGTCCCTGGACGTTCGCTATATTGTCCAAAGGTGGCTCTTACCAAGATGCCGTATTTTCGTAATCCAGACTCCGAGTTTGAAATTTCTGGGGCATTGTTGGATCCCATCCCCAAGCCTGTTTTCGTGTCTTTAACAATGTAGAACATGAGTGCAGGGTGACCGCATATCCTTCTCATACACACAACTGCAGCGACAAACATCCATGCGCAAAGACAGAGACGATAAACGATGTCGACGTTGTTGTGGGGTATTTTGTTAAATTATGCTAATTCACTCCCAATACAATACATCTTCTGTTGTGTAATATTACGGCTCCCCGGTGATAATTTACGTGCT